CACCCCCAACCCCAACCCCACACCTTACCCGAATGCACCGAGCCCCACACACCCACAACCAAGAGCTGAACGAGTCTTCAGCCCTAAGCCCTATACCCAAAACCCTAAAACCCGAAACCCAAAACCCTGAGCCCAAAACCCAATACTCAAAACCCTAAAACCCGAAACCCAAAACCCTAAACCCACGCCATTCCGACTGCGCGGCTTGGGCTAGATTTAGGGAGCCTCCAAGCACTGACACATGCAGCAGCGGGTCGAGTTCAGAGCTTTTGGCTTGCGGATTTCAGGCTCCGGAAATCGAAGCTTTAGGGTTAAGGGGTTTTGCGTTTAGGGGTTGGGGGGTTTAGCGTTTAGGGGTTTAGCGTTTAGGGGTTTAGCGTCTAGGGGTTTAGGGTTAAGGGGTTTAGAGTTTAGGGGCTTAGGGGTTTAGGGTTTCGGGTTTAGGTGTTTAGGGGTTTAGGGTTTAGGGTTCCTGAAACTCTGAACCTGAAGCCTTTGACCGTCCGAAGCCATGATCTGCAAACGTAAGGCTGCGATTGAGGCGACCCCACGAGTAAGTCCGTGAAGTAGTAGGCGTACCTTGGATCAGGTTTAGGGTTCAGGGTTTAAGGCTGTAGCCCTAAACCCTAAAACCCTAAAACCCTAAAACCCTAAACCCTAATAGGGTTTCGACTCACACACTCGCACGAAGCCTATTAGGGTTTAAGGCTTTCTCAGACTCCAGAGTAAGATAGCACAGAGACAAACTCTTGCCGGGGCACATCCTGCGGAAGCAGCCGTACAAAGGGAGCCATCAGACTTCCCATCGTTTCGGGTCGTGAAGGTAATGCAAATTTTTGCCCGCCGACTGAATTGAATATATTCGGAGCACACAGAACCCGATGAGAGTGTCAGGGCTAAAACCTGATCCGATATCGAGACTACAAATCGTGCCCCGGGCGATTTCTGATGAAATTCTGAGTCTGCTGCCTTCTTGAGCTCGCCCTCCTCCCCTCTCGTGTTTCGGCGCTCACTCGAAAACTCCAGGTAAGGCATGTTCGAAGTGGTTTTGGCCACGGTGACTCAAGACCAAATCCAAAACAACAACAAAGCAGGACAGGGTTTAGGGAGGTTTTGGTTGTTTGGTTTGGGCAACAAGGGTTTGCTTGACAATTTGGGGGTCCTTTAAGGGACCCCATGAATTTCAGTTTCAAGGTCGATGCTCCGGTCCGCTGTATTGCTCGGATGCCCCATGTCCTGGTCATGTCATCCTGTCCCGGCTGGTATAAGTTTTAGGATTTAGGGTTTAGGGGGTAGTCCGATATTGGCATGAGGAAGACGTGGATTTCACGTCGCGAAAACATGGAATCCATATAAGGAGGTTTCCTAATCTAGGGAATCTAGGGGTCTGTATATGAATAGTCTCAACCCGCATGCAACCAAGTTGCGCATTTAAGTTTCCGTAGAGTCTGGCCGTTTCAATTCCCGGCGCATCGCTTTCGCCTGGAGCCAAACCCTTGCTGCATCTTCCTTGTTCTGTAGCCTAGGAGGTTCCTTCATTATGATTGGCCGTGGAAGCCCCTACAAAGGTAGGTTATTTGGGGTGAAGGTAGGGTTTAGGATTTCTAGTTCTCTTACTTGCCCACTATTCTACTGCCCCAAGCGAGGATAAAGGTTCTACCTACTCTACCACTAAGCTATGGGATTCTATGCGGGTGCGAAGGGTCATTGGTGAATGGGCTCCTGAATAGTCGGGTTCTCTTTCTGTGGTCTTGAACAAACCGGGCTCGCATCAAAAGGACCTTTCCATCAGACGTGTCGAAGAAGCATAATATAGGGACCTTAAGTAGAATATGCGTATTGTATACTTTAAGTATAATAAGCAACCCCCAAAACCCTATTCTAATTCTTAAGGCCCCTAGATTATGCAGAAACCTTCCTCGAAGCAGCTGCCACACTTTGGAAACTACGCTTTGTCGTCCAAACCCTAAACCCTAAACCCCAAGTTTTTGAGTCAAAAAATAACTACCAATACTATTTTGGGGGTTCCTTGGTATATAATTTATATAATTACAGCATAATGGGCCCCAAAACCCTATTCTAAAATATGAAGGGCCCATGTAGGTGCAGAAGAAAACCTGAGCCTTCCTCTTTAGCCTAGGGTTTAGGGTTTAGGTTTGCATTTTGTAACTATAGTAATCCTAACACAGAACAGCAACATTTTGGCCGCGATTTGCTAACTTGCTGACTTACTGGTCCGGTTTGACTTTTTCCGAGGGCTTCTGGGGAATAATACCCACAGACAGGTTCAAGGTTACCTACTCCTCTACGAAAATCCCTGAACCCTCAACCACTAAACCCTAAGATCCCTACACCCTACGACCCCTAAACCCTAAACCCCTAGACTCTAAGAATCCCTAACCCCTAAACCCTAAACCCCCTAAACTAAGAATCCCTAAACCCTAAACCTCTCCAGTCCCTAAACCTAAAGCCGCCTTCCCCTGCCCCATTCCGCCTGCAAAGGCCGCCGCATTGGGAAGCCAGAGCAGCCAAGAAATGGTGAGATGCATGGCCATCTTAGCCATAATTAAAGGAACCTACAGGTGGGGAGTTTAGGGTATATAGGGCTTCTATAAGGCTTCCATAAGGTATAGAGACCTTCTATAAGGCTCCTATAACGGTAACTCGATAATGCAACTGCTCTCTTTCAAACGTTTTCGTGGGATAAACCGTTCAAGACATCCGCGGGCTGCAAGAGAGGCGCTTACCTTAGCAGCAAAAGCCTCCGGGAAGTAGAGTTTGGGGCTTCGGGTGCAGGTAACTGCGCTATGAGCCCATGTTTCTCCACAGCTTTGCTCTATCTTTTGGGCCGCCCTGGCCAGGTGCATCCGAACAACTGGTTGGGTTTTGGGTTCAGGCTTCAGGGGTTAGGTGGGTTTTTGATCAGGAACTTGACTGCAGCTACCATACTAGGCATCTATAGTGAACAGTAAACTGCAAAGACTATGGTTATTGAAATAAGTCTCTTAACAAGGACCCGGGTCATGAAGAACAAGAACAGTCATCGTGGAATGGGCCACAGGTGGAGTTAAGACTTGAAGTAGAAGGGGGGTTACTGTTACTTGGGTGAAATGCAGTACTTTCGGGTCTAGGGCTTAGGGTTTCCGAGGATGGTAGGGGTTCTGTGCAAGTAGGCCATCAGGGCGCACAACCCGCCAAGAAAGAGCTGAGGAGTTAGGGGTTTAGGGTTTACCTATAGTCTCCATTGTAGTTCCTTCTTTTGGATGAACCAATTATACATTAAGGATTTTATAAGGTATCCCCAAAAAAGAACTACAATGGAGACTATAGGTAGGGTTGAGGCCCCATGTCCAAAGCGCGGCTTTTCTCCACTAATCTGCAACATCAGCGCCGATGCCAACCCTGCAATCGGCTCCAATGCTGAGAGCGTGTGGACGTACTGCCCCCCTTCGCAATACCTCACCAGGCACTTCCCAGAGACTCCAATACCCCTTAATTAAGGAATATACCTTAAATCATATTAGGGATCCTACTCTAATTTAAGGTATATTCCTTAATTAAGGGGTATTGGAGTCCCTGGTTTGTGAGAAATACATAGGCTTGTGTCTGAAGGTCTGTCCACCTAGTTGGTTGAGCCCAAGGAGCCCGGAGGAAATGAAATGTCAACGAGGCTCAATCACAGTGTGCCGAGTTTGAGCATGCTGGTAATGTAGGAGCCTTGACGACTAGAATAGGGTTTTGGGCTCCTTTCTAGTAAGTTCATACTACGGAACCCTGAGGAAGAACGTTGGCAATCATTTAGGCTTCTACGGTAGCTGCATGGCCTGGACAAGCCCACTCTGTCCATCTTGACAGGACAGAAGTCAGAAGCCCTGCGGCATGTCTTTAAAGGAAACTACAGGTGGTGGGTATAAAGACCTTCTATAAGGCTCCTATAACGGTAAGTACCCACCTGAAAATGTCCTGGACATAAAAGGGGCCGTACTGAACCCTGAACCCAGGGCCTTCATACTTAAGCCCTGAACCCCTAAACCATAAGCACGAACTTATACCTAAGAGTTTAGGGCATGTTCGGAGCCCCTTTGCCGCCTGCCCATTTGCCGTCCTAAGCACTTGATCTGCGGCCGCCCTAAATCCTGGGCCCTAAACTCTCAAGACCCTGAACTCCACTCCCCAAGCGGAGTGATCTATCTATCTACCCATAGGCCCTATAGTATATAGTTTTTTTGGGGCTTACCTTATAGGATTCTCTAAATATGAACCTCAAAAAGGGACAGCTATGGGGCCTATGGGTAACCCGAGGCAGCTTGAAACCTATAGCCTGGCAGCAAACACTCAGCCTGTACCCTAACAGCGAAACCCTTAAACCCCGAACCCTTAAGCCCTAAACTCTAAACCCCCCTAAACCCAATGATTACCCAAAACAGGAAACCCCTAAACCTAAAACCGCAAGCCTCTTAGGTGGGCTTTTTGGATCTCACAAAGGTCACAAGCCTCTGACGGGACAACTGGAAGCTTCGCAGAACAGGGTTCCCTAATATTTACAGACCCTAAGTGATAGGTTAAGGCTTAGGGTTTAGGGTTTAGGGTTTATAGGAACCTTCATTTAACAGCCCGCCCTATCAACGTAACCCCGACTGTAAGAAACCTTGTCTGAGAGTGTGTCGGCCGAGGGCACGTCGTGGCAGAGCTTTGCATTGTCAATATGTCTGCGTGCAAACGAATGGTGCCCATGTCCTGAGCTTCATGAAGGGGGTTGGTGTTTACCCTAAACCCTAATTGAGAGGGCTTAAAATAAACCCTAAACATCCCTTAAACCCAAAACTCCAAACCCTAAACCCTATACACCAAAGCACGGTTCATTGAGGATAGGATTGCCCTGGAGAAAGGACCCTCGCTTGAGGGATTTTTTGTGTCTCCATCCAGAGCCCAAAACCAGAAAGCATTCACTGACGTTTAGGGTTTAGGGTTTCCTTCTCCCTACCATAGCGTCGAGCGGCAGAGGTCATCTGTAGGACCTGGGGAGGGATCTGTGAATTATGCTCTAGGGTGTTTGCGCTTTATGATTCTACGGTTTAGGGTTTAGGGTTTAGGGATGACCATTCCGACCTGCCACCGGCATTGTAGACATTGTAGTTACTGGACAGCCCTGCCTTGGCGCACATGGGGTTCGCCATAAAACAAGCTAGCTACACTCCGCATTCACTTAACATTCAGCCCTAAACCAGCCTAAACCGTAAACCCTCTAAGGGTAAACCCTAATCCCCGAACCCAAGCATAAACTGGAGCCACCCTAATAAAGGGGCCTTAATGATCAGAATAGGATTTTGGGGCCCTCTATGGTAAAATGACTATAAGTATAATAAGGAGCCCACAACATAGTATAGGTGATCATTTAGAAGAGGGGTTTGGGGTCCGTTATAATATAACTAAGGAGCCCCCAACACAGTATAGGTAATTATGTAGGCCCCTACATTAAACCTAAACCCTCAACCCTAAACCCTAAACTCTAAACCGTATTACACCCTTAAAAGGAGACCCTAAACCCTAAACCCTAAACCCTAAACTCTAAACCGTATTACACCCTTAAAAGGAGCCCCTAAAACACCCAGGCCCGGCTTCAGAAGAGCTCCCACCTGCTGCCACTGCGCGGCCACTTGGCAAGCGACCAGGACCTGGGCCGCCGCCCCCGGGATTTGGGGGTTTGGGGATTTGGGGGTTTAGGGTTTAAGGTTTTAGGGCTTGGGGGGTTTAGGGGTTTGGGGTTTTAGGGGTTTAGGGGTTTGCAGTAGGGTTTTAGGGTTTGGGGGTTTAGGGGTTTAGGGTTTTAGGGTGTTAGGGGTTTAAGGGTTTGGGGTTTTAGGGGTTTAGGGGTTTACACTAGGCTTTGGGGGTTTTGGGGTTTTAAGGGTTTAGGGTAGGGTTTCGGGGTTTGGGGGCTTAGGGGTTTAGGGTAGGGTTTGGGGGTTTGGGGGTTTAAGGGTTTACAGAAAGGTTTGCGGGTTTGAGGGTTTAGGGGTTTACAGCAGGGTTTAGGGTTTAGGGGTTTAGGGGTTTACGGTAGGGTTTGGGGGTTTTGGGGGGTTTAGGGTAGGGTTTCGGGGTTTGAGGGTTTACATAGGAGCAGGGTTTCGGGTTTGGGGGTGTAGGGTTTAGGAGTTAGGGACTGTGAACTCGCATGATGAACCTCTGTCGAAGCCTCGTAGGCCTGATCACAGTGGAAAATTGAACCACAAACCCCTGTATTGTCGCGGCATTTCTCGTTTCTGTAATACTTGTGGCGATCACCACCGTTCTTTTCTCCAAGGCATTGCCGTCGCGATCACCATGCCCACAGTTGCCATCATGCTTGCGTTGTCTGCCCCTGCTGTATACTATATATGTTACAGGGTCGTTCATATGCAGCTACACACTCATACAAGATTGGCAGACGCATATACACAAGCTGCACATACTCTTGAAAAGGTCTTGCACTGGACGTGCTGGGCATCGCGTTTCTCTCGTTCTTATTGCTGGGGTCGTTGATCAAGTTCTTTCCGTTTTCGGCCGCAACACCTCACCCGCTTAGCATCACGCCTGTGATTGTTCTAATCACCAAGCCACGGTGTTGCAGCTGACAACATCGGGCGGCGCAGCGGCATCGGTCATGGTGCATAGCCTTGTGGGATAATGTAGGGGCCTAAATACTTACCATATATATATATATACTTATAGTAAACGGGCCCCCAAAACCAGTTCTAATTATTAAGGCCCTATATTAAGCTTTGTAGCTGTGAGGGTCCACTCATGCTCTGTTCAAGCCTTGGACACTTGACCTTCCAAGCCTAAGCCCCTCAGGTGCCAAATCCTATGCTGACAAAAACAGACCACTTCGACAGGCTCAGACAGTAAAAGACATTAGCAGCATTAGCATTAAGTTATAGTGCTATCAATGGACCGCCGAAGCCAGTCCTGATACTGCTACAAGCAACGTAGCGACGTTACCATAAAGGTTGCACTCAGTTGTCAAAATATTCGAATGGCGTCCATTCTCAAGAGTATACCAAAAACTATATCTACTCCCCAGAAACGTATGTATTCTACTCACGACGGCTCGCTTCATAAGACGCATTTTACGTATGCCCTCTAGCCTTAGCAGGATTACTATTACTGTTATTACTATGATTATAATTATAGTTATGACTACAATTCACTTTGCAGTACTGCTAGCGCTACGATTGCCGTTGCTACTAGTATGTATGCAACTTTACGATTGATCTGATGATGGCTACGGCCATGAATTGACTCTTAAAACCATAGCCCTGAACCCTAAACCCTAATTTGATACTGTTTCTGTTTCTGAGCCCTGATGTCTGATCGTGCCTGGTTAGGACTGTGGGTTTAGGGTTTAGGGGTTTAGGGTTTAGGGTTTAGGGTTTAGGGCTTTAGGGGTTTAGGGGTTTAGGGCTTTAGGGGTTAAGGGGTGTAGGTTTTAAGGGTTTAGGGGTTTAGGGTTTGGGGTATTGGGTTTAGCGTGGGGTGTCGGGTTTAGGGTGTGGGTTTGTGTGTGCTCAGCCATACATAGCGCAGATACTTTATGCGAGAAACAAACACGCGAAGGAACTCCAGGTACAACAACAAATGCTGTTCGTTGTAAGAGTGCATAAGGACTATACTGACTGAAAGTAGGCCTTAAGAACGTTCAGCTCTGTCAAGCGTAGGCCTAACATAGGGACCTCATGATGTATGATGTATGGCTTGTTCAACAATAGTTGATCAGGGGCCACTAGACAGACCTCGATGGACAAATCTTGCCCAGGGTGCTGTGCCAAAGCCAGCTGCCACTTCTGCCGCTTGGCACATGCGTCGATGGCGGCAGTGCAACAGAGGACGTCCTTTGCGCCAGGGTTGATGTGTCTGTTATGCTCCCTGGCTTGGGCTCAAGGCTTCGGATTCACCGTTAACCTCTTGGTTTACCATCCAAAATATTGCAAATTACAAGCAAGTCCTTCAGCTGGAATGAGTTTCTGTGAAGCTTAAAATGCAAAAAAAAACCTCTTTTCTTTTGCTCAGCTCCTTATGGCAAGCTTCAGTGTAAAGTTTCACTACCCTGGACACTTTTGAAGCCACCCAAAACGCCAATTTGTACAAGCCACCGGCGTCAGCTGTGCGGTCCGCATGTCATCAAGCAGCACCAACACCTCACAAGGCGGCTTCTACAGATGTTTCCTCTACGGATTTGCGACCACTCGGGAAGTCCAAGCCTACTCAAACCCACCAAGGCGGTGTTTGATAAGCCTCTCGGAACGCCAGACAACATAATGTCGGGGCCTTAACAATTAGAATAGGATTTTGGGGTCCATGAAACTATAGTTCAAACAAATGACCCCCCAAAAAAGTACAGGTAATTATTAAGGCCCCTAAATATATTACATCCAACCCCCAAAAGCTCTTATACAAATCATCCCAAAGGCCATGGCACTTGCCGCCACTGTTGGCCATTCTGGCATGCGCAGATGGCGGCATTGAAAACCAAGTGGTCCAATAACAGTTCGGACCTCAGTCCAAGCTACAGACATAGGGTTTAGGGTTTAGGGTTTAGTCCCTCCCGTAATGCAGGGTTTAGGAGTTTGGGTTTAGGGGTTTAGGGTGCAGAGGTTTAGGGTTTAGGGGTTCAGGGGTTTATGGGTTGTAACATAGGGGGCCTAAGAATTAGACTAGGGCTTTGGGGGTATACTATACAATCGCCATATGAGGGCCTATGAGGGAGTAGCATTGCTACTGTTGCAATAAAGTGGAGAACTGAAACTTCCTCACCACCTCGAGGTGATGCATCTTCTGCTGTCGAGGCCCTTAAAAACAAAACCTCTCACACGCGAATCTTAAACTGAACACCAAACTCTAAACCCTAAACCCCCAAAGCCCTAAACCCTAAGCCCTAAACCCCGAAATCCCGAAACACTGAAGCCGACAAACCAAGCCCTTAACCCTTGAAACCCAATGACTCTAAAGCTAGAGCCCCACCAGAGCCCCCAAGTGCCATGTAATAGAGCCCCTATATGGTCCTTAATAATGTGCATTTAAGGACTAAGTAGACAGAAATTGGGAGATCTAGACAAATCCGGTATTTTTCTCCTAAATAAACTCTACGCTCCTGAACCTTACACTCTGAACAAGCGACCCAAGGCCCAAGTGGCTCTGCTGCACCGGCCAGCATCTCCTTAGCTCTTGATATGGAGGCCTTGCTATTTATTTAGACGATTTTCACAGGGCCTCCGACTGGCTTATGGGGTCACAAGCAATTAATATCCCCTAAACGCGCAGCAAAACCTTATTATACACCCTACCTTAACCTACCAGAACCTATTTGTTTGTAGGGTCGCTATAAATTCCATGTAACATGGGCTTATAATAGGAACCCACACACAACAAAACAAATACAGGTTTTGGTATGTCTTGGTAGTGTAGGAACCTGATTAAGAAACCCTGGCCCTAAAACACCAAAATGGTAGGATTCATATAAAGAACACTAATAAAGGCCCAAGGTTTCTTTATCAGGTTCCTGCATTACACCTTAAACTACCATACCCTCATTTTGTTAAGGTTCTTCTTTATGAAGCTTAATATATAGTTTAGCGGGACCCTACCAAAAAGTAGGTTCTGGTAGATTAAGGTAAACCCTAAAACCTGAAACCCTAAATCCCTAAAACCCAAAATCCCTAAACCTCGATGTTGTGGTCTGGAATTTGGTGTAAGGGCTTGGTTTTGGTCGGTTAAGGCACCTTACAAGCAGGTCCGAGCTGCCAGGGCAGAGGGCCACTGCTGATACCTCCCGAAGGCAGGTAAACCTCTGGCAGCGCGGGCTCTTGGGCTTTAGGGTTGAGGAAAGGGTTGGGGTTTGGGGTTTAGGGTTTAGGGTTTGGGGGGTTAGGGTTTAGGGTTTAGGGTTGGGGCTTAGGGTGTGATACGGTTGATGATAGAAGTCCTGCATTACCCATGATAAGGAGTCTGCCATAATTCCCATAGTTTAGGGCCCTCAAGGCGATGCAGGATTTATATCATCAACAGTGGGGCTGTGGGGATAGGATGCAGGGTTTAGCACTTCGGGGTCCGAGCTTTGGACGTTTAAGGGCTGGGGCTTTGCAGCAGAGTACCCACGGAGACAACAAGTTGGACTTTCAGAACTTACACTACTACAATAAGTTAAGCTACTGAAACCCACTAAAGGATGTTAAACGATGCTGTAAGATGCTATGGAGCCCGTGAAGGTTTGCACACAAGGTGTTGAAGACCTAACCGCTGTTGTGGGAGTTCATCGAGGATTCAGCTACCGGGAGCTTTGTGAATTACGTGGCCCTACAGGGGCACTGCCCCTAAACCCTAAACCGATTGTTTCTAGGGGATTTCAGGCTTCACGGGTTCAGGGTCCCCACCAGGGTTACCATTTTAGAGGTTTCTGCTGAGGGTCCCTGTTGAAGGTTCCTTTAAGGGACCCGTAAGGGCTCTTCTGAGGTTGTAAAGTTTACGGTAATCTTACGATTTCTTACAGAGAATCGGGATCTATAAGGGTTTCGGAAGTAGCTGGGGTAGCAACAGAGGCCTTTGATGAAAGAGGGGGCCAACATATGATACCAGGTGTGTTCCTTACCTCAAGGGCTTTGGAAGTCTCTGGGCGTCCACTCTTCCCGTGAGCCCGGTTCGTGTTCATAAGCTGCCTGTGTGTTTAAACTGCTAAAGTAGCTGAATCTAGGTTTCTTGATGTAGACCACTCCTTACCTTACTAAGGACTTTGTACAGATGCTAATGCAAGCGCCCGTAAAGAAAGGACCGACCATGTTCTACACGAGCAGACACCCTTGTACCTAAACCCCAAACCCTAGAGCCCAGATCCCTGATCAAGCTAAGACCTCTTTAGAGGAACCCTTTGGAGGAGCCCTTATGCAAACCCTAAATGCTATTAGTTCTACATTCTACACCAAAACCCTTCAGTCCCAAAATTCCAAACTCCTGAACCAACAACCCTCAGGCGGAGAACAAAAAAACGCCTACAAAGCCGACAGAGCCCTTCAGGGAACCCTTACAAGCCTTCAACCCTAAGCCCTTATCCCAAATCCTCAACCCTAAATCCCTAAAACCCTATACACCCTAAAGCCTAAACCCCTAAAGTCCTCAACCCTAAACCCCTAAATCCTAAACCCTACAAGCCCGTAAAGCCCGCACCCCCTAAACCTAAACCCTAAACCCTAAACCCCTACGGGTTGAAACCTCAAGCTCTAGGCCCCAACCATGATCCTCCCCGAACCCCCCCACTGAACAAGGCTAAGTTTAGGGTTTAGGGTTTAGGGATTTCGGGGTTTAGGGTTTGGGGTTTAGGGGTTTAGAGTTTAGGGTTTCGGCTCTCACACTCGGACAATCCAGGCGAGGCGAATGATGAGTCAACGTTTAGGGTTTAGGGGTTGAGGGTTTGGGGTTTAGGGATTACTCTTAGGGTTCCTTATTACACTCATACAATAAAAGAGCCCACAACCCTATTCTAATTATTGTGGCCCCTACATTACATCCTAGAACCTCCACCCTGCACCCTTTTGCAACTGGCCTGCCGCCGAGCCCCTACACCATAACCCCTAAACCCTGCACCCTTTTTTCACAAAGGACTCGACTGCTGCTGCCCTTACTGCCCAGCATGACCCACAAGACAGTACACCCTAAAACCCTATTCGACTTGTTGAGGCCCCTCTCTTGCACCCTTTTTGAGTCACGGGCTGGGGCCGGACGTCCGAAGCCCTAGAACCTAAATCCTGCACCCTACACCCTAAAACCCTACACCCTAAAACCCTAACCCTAAACCCCTAAACCCTAAACCCCAAAACCCCTAAACCCTATACCCTAAAGCCCTGAAGTCCCAAATCCATAATTACCCTAAACCCTAAAACCCTTAAGTCCCAAATCCCTAAACCCCAAAACCCCCATTAAACCCTAAACCATTAAAACCCTAAAACCCTTAAGTCCCAAAACTCGGGGCGGGCGGCAGGTGCCGTAGGAGCTGCTGTCCGGACTGGGCCCGAGCTTCTGCATTCTGGACCTTGTCTCTTGGGGGTTGAGGTCATGCCATACTTGGAGGCCCAGGGGACTTAGGGTTTAGGGTTTAGGGTCTACTTGGAGGTCCAGGGGACTTAGTAAGTCGGTTATAAGTATGGTTATGATTGGGGTAACTCCAGTTAGGGTACTTATAACTCTACTTATAACATTCTTGACCTTGTCAGTATTAAAGGAAGCTACAGGTGGGAGTTTAGGGTATATAGGGCTTAGGGTTCAGGGTTTAGGGTTTAGGGTTTGGGGTTTAGGGTTTAGGGTTTAGGGTTTAGGTGGGAGTTTAGGGTATATAGGGCTTCTATAAGGCTTCCATAGGGTATATAGACCTTCTATAAGGCTCCTATAGCGGTAACTACCCACTTGAAAATGACCTTGTCAGTACTGCTCAAGCTTTCGGGCTTAGGGCCTTAGGGTTCAGGGCCTTAGGGTTTACGCATTTGTTTGCATGGGGTTCTAGGGTTAAGACTGTACCTTCGTTTTTTGTTTTTAACGGCCCTCTTGCCTCACGACCATCAAGGTTCGTGGCTGAGTGGGGCTTCAGGTCTTGGGTTCACGGTCCGAAGTTTAAGGTTAAGAGGGGTTGAGGGATACAGGGTAAGTTTAGGGTTTAAGCCTTACCCTCAGCTACCAAAACCTAGTTTTTTGTAGGGTCCCTATAAATTCTATACTAGGGTTTATAAGAAGGACCTACAAAAAAGTAGGTTATGGTAGCTTAAGGTAGGGTTTAGGGTTGAGGGTTTGTTTAAGGCTTAGGCTTTTTTGGTGACGCAGACTCGGATGCTCCAGGCGAGGCATGCCCCGACCATTTTTGCAACTGGCTTGCAACGTCACGCCAGGACAGCTGACTCGTTCCAGGCACGCCACGACCCTAAACCCTACTTGGAGGTTCATGGGTAGTTATAAGTGGGGTCATAATTCCCGTAAGTAGGGTTAAAAGTATAGTTACCCTACTTATAACCCCACTTATAACTACCCATGAACCTCCAAGTAAACCCTGCACCCCAAGCTCCAAGCCCAGAACCCTCAACCCTAAACCCGGCCATCACACAACTGCTGCGGGCAATTGCCTGTTGCCGAGAGTCAGGTCGCCGTAACCCAAGCGGTCAAAGGAGCCCTTGATCTCAAAGGACTACCAGAACGCCCCAAGTGCCCTTTAATAGAGCCCTCATGGTTCTTGATAAGGGGTATTTAGGGAATGTAGGGTATAATTGAGGGTAATTGGGGGTCTAGGTAATGTCTTCGGTTTAGGGTTTAGGCTCTGTGGCAAAAGGCTCAAAACAGCCCAAAAGCCTGATAGAGCGTGGTCTTGCCTTAGCACACAAGCCCTGGAAGCCTCATGGAAAGACACTTCCGAAGCCTATGAAGCCAGAGTGATTTGCAATGATATAGGGGGCCCTAATACTTAGAATAGGATTATACTGTAATTATAATAAGGAGTTCCCCAAAACCCTATTCTAATTATAAAGGCCCCCACGTTATGTGAAACTTAGGAGGACTTGCCATCCCCTGCCAATGCCGATAGTTAAAGGAAACTACAGGCGGGGAGTTTAGGGTATCTAGGGCTTCTATAAGGATCCTATAACGGTAACTACCCACCTGAAAATGTCCTAGAGATAGACCAGTACACACATGGGTGGTTGTCAAAATTATGGTCCCTTCTTGGGTCCTTATTTTAATACGGCACTTATTATTTACGGTACCCCAAAAGGGACCATAATTTTGACAACCACCCACATCTTGAAGGGTTTGAGGTTTACGGGTTTAGGGCCTTAGGGCTGATCGGTTTCGGGTGTAGGATGGTTTAGGGTTCCTTCAAAGCTGTAATCGTAAGCTTTTACGGTTTTGGGATTAAGGTTTAGGGTTCCTCCCTAAACCCTAAACCCTGAAGAAAAACTCCGCTATCTGACCAATCTGGGGCGCAGAAGGCAGGCAGCTTGCTGCCACTGACCTCACTTGGAGGCCCTGGGGACTTAGTAGGTTATAAGCAGAGTTATAAGTACCCTATGTGGAGTTACCCGACTTATAACCCTACTTATAACCGACTTACTAAGTCCCCTGGGCCTCCAAGCATGGCTTGCGGAAGCACAGAGAGCCCTACCTAGACACAGCGAGCGGATCCTCACCAACTGAGGCTTGCTGAAAGATCTTTGAATAGGTTTCGGGGTGCACTATACTATTTTTTGGCATTACAGAACCAAGGAATAGTAGAAGTATATATAATTTTGGCATTACAAACCCCTAAGGAATGAAGTATAAGTAATTCTTCCGACCCGTATACTAGCAGATTGGTTTGGCTTCAGGGTACGGGTGTAGGGCAGAAAGAACGCAGTGGCCACCGTTAATCCCAAAACTACAACAAAACTGCTGTTGATGTTCGTGAGGCCCGATGCTGAAGCATGGTCCTACCATCTCCATCTTTGCCAATGATGTCGTTACCTACCAGTTGGATACAAACGCCAAACGCCAAGTCTGCTCCACGAGGCTCCAAATTCAACTTCTGCATTGGCGAGCGGCTGGCCAGCTGGCAAGCAAAAAGGACGGCATTGAAGCTGATCGTCGTGGGCTCCTTCCAACATGCCACCCTACTCGTGAGCCTACGAGTGCGCTTTCTTAAAAGGATCCTAGCGATAAACAGGGCTAGCCAAACAAGGAACTGCACCGGATACTATAATATAGATGCAACAATTCGACTAGAGCTTTGGTTTCAAGTATAATAACCGTATATTCAGGACCCCTATGGGACAGCATGGATGATTGTTCGGGCCCCACAATTAATGAACTATTAGGTCCCTGGACCTTTGAACCTAAATCCTCCGCAGCACCACAGAAGCCCCGATGGGCAGGTTAGGTTAGGGTTTAGGGTTTAGGGGTTTAGGGTTCAGAAATGGCGCCAAAGGCGGCGGCTTTCCTTGTAAGTTTGCATCACGGCTTTACTGTTTTGCGGGTTTTCTATGAGAGGCTTAGACTTACAGGGGCTGTATAAGGAAGGGTTGGGAATTGGGAGTTTACAGGGTTAGGGTTTCGGGTTTTGGGCTTAGGGCCCTGGTCATCGATCGAGTCCACAAAGGGTCCAAAGTACGCCTCTATGTTGTAGAGAGTAGGATTTCTACATTAGGAACCCTTATTGTGATTTGGGACAGTATCCCCCATAACAGTACAGTTAGTACCTAGGACCTAGGATCCTTCGGGAATACACCCCATCGCTCCTCTCCAGGATATGCTAGTAGACTTGATGACACACAAAGGCCCCAACATTGACAGGCTGTGCCTACGAAAAGCAAGTAATCCAATCTAATCCGCACATGTTTCGACATGACTCCAGAAGTGCCTAACCAGGGGCCTTAATAATTAGAATAAGGTTTTGGGCTCCTTTACAGTATAGTTATAGAAAGAACCCCCCAAAACAGTATAGGTAATTATTTAGGCCCCTGCACTATTTCTCCAAGCCGATCTTCCCTGCCGGGCAACAGCCCTGAAGCTTTGAATGCTTGCATCTAGTGTAGGAACTTGATTAAGGAACCCTGGCCCTAGAACCCCCAAATAGCAGGACTCATATAAGAAACCCTGATAAGGACCCAGGGTTTCTAGAACCCCAAAATAGTAGGACCCATATAAAAGAACCCTGATAACGGCCCAGGTTTTCTTAATCAGGTGGAGCCTGGCATCCGATGCTGAGGGTTTCCGTTTGGGTGGCTTCTAGTGCCTGACGCTTTATGTAGGAGCCTCAATTACAGTATAATGGGCGCCAAAACCCTGTTTTAATTATTAAGGCCCTATCTTAACCGAACTCCAAATCCGAAATTGAAGGTTTATGATTGGGATGGTTGAGGGTTTAGGGTTTAGGGCTAGGGTGGTTGATCGTTTCCAGCGTCTGAGTGCTTCTTATGAGAGCAGGCCCGAGAGTGCTTCCAGTCCGACTTGCCAGCAACCAGACAAAACCCCTTGATGCAAACACTCCAAGCAACAAGTACTTGGGCTGCTTAGGGCCTAGGGGCCTAAGGGCTTACTCCAAAAATCCGCAAAGTAGCACTGGGAGTTTCGGAGAATCAAAATCCGCAAGATTGGTATATATATATATATACACGGACACATACTGCATACATGTTTTGTAACGATAGTTGGTAGGATACCGGATATAAAGATCCCTAAGCAAGCGTATGCCCTCGTCTGAAGCAGCCCCCCTTCCAGTCTCCAGGCTGTCGGTCATCATGTCCCCCAGCAGCTGTAGTGAGGCTTCCCATCTGGACAAAGCCGGCTTTCACCGTGGCCCCCAACCCAAACGCATCACGAAAAGCAATTAATATCGGTGCCTTAATAATTAGATCCGGGTTTGGGGCTCCTTTATAGTATAACTATAATATGGAATCCTAAGGAATTATGACAATTCTCTAGGCTTCTATATTCTTGCGTTGGGTTCTGCAGAGTAGGGGACTCATGTAGGGCCCTGATCAATGGCACCCCCCCCTTTCCCTCATATGGATCCTAATATTCATGGTATTCCGGGTGTTTTTCGAGACACAAGGTGGTTTTTTGACCCTAAACCCTAAACTTTTGACCAGCGGTCATTGAGCCACGCCCCATTCAAAATCGGAAACCACAAAGCACTGTCCCAATTGCCTAAACTCTGAACCTGCAGACTCTTCACAGCGGACCTGGTTGTCGACCCTAGACCCTAAACCCTACTTGGAGGTTCATGGGTAGTTATAGGTGGGGTTACAAGTCGGGTAACTATACGTTTAACCCTACTTAGGGGACTTATAGCCCCACTTATAACACCCATGAACCTCCAAGTAGACCCTAAACCGAGGACTCCAGACACTCTGCTTCGAGGGGTTTCATACGGTTTAGGGTTGAGGGTTTGGGGTTTGGGGTTGAGGTTTTAGGGCCTTAAAGGTTAGGGTTCAGATGCATGACTGTGGTTTGCTAAGTGCACCCAAAATAATCATTACCCATATAGCCCCATAGTAGTTCCTTTTTCTGTTTTATATTTAGAACCCTATAAGGCAATCCCAAAAAAGAAACTACCATGGGGCCTACTTGGAGGTTCATGGGTAGTTATAAGTCCTCTAACTAGAGAACCCACTTGGAGGCCTTTGTAGTTATAAGTGGGGTTATACGTCCTCTAATATGGTTTATAAGTATAGTTACCCTACTTATAATCCCCACTTATAACTACCCATGAACCTCCAAGTATGGGTAGTTCTTATCTCTGGACACCAGGGTTCAACTTCCACGAGTCGCTCGACTTGAAGGGATACCTAAGGCCGAATCAGAAACAGCCACTAGACATAGGGCGTACTTGGAGGTTCGTGGGTAGTTATAAGTGGGGTTATAAGTTTAGGTTTTAGGGCCCTAAACCCTAAACCCTAAACCCTATTATTATATAATTACAGTTGCCCTAATTCTAACTACCCATGAACCTCCAAGTAGGGTTAAGGGTCCAGGGCTTGGGTCCCAAACCCCGAAACCCAATTCTGGTTCCAGAGTCAGGGGTCTAGGGTTTAGGGTTTAGGGTTTAGGGTTTAGGGTTTAGGGTTTAGGGTCAAACTGAGCCGAAAACCCTTAGTATGGGGGCTTAAGCCACGGGCACTGGTACTTCAACGAACAGGCTTTAAACAAACTTCGGCTTCGCAAACTCCGAGGGTAAGACAAACTCTAGAAACTAGGTTCCCCAGTAGCCCCTTAATGATAAGGGCACCCTTTTTCTTATTACTCGGTTTTAACAAGGGAACCCCAAAAAGAAAAAGGGCAAAAGGGTTCTACTGGGCAACCTAGGAAACCACAGATATCAGCAAGTGCTGAGGCTCTGTTGGCCGCGCCCCAATGCCCCCATGCAGGAATTCCAGCTGACAACCTCGCGGCTCAGAGCTGAGGGGTTTAGGCTTCAAGGGCTTCGGGTTCAGGGATGTCTTGCTCCTGCCCATGAAGCCCTAGAAAACCTTACAAGTATGAAAAATGTGTGAAGAAAACGGTACAAAAACACTACAACCAAACTCCTGAACCCTAAGCCCCAACAGCTCTACCAGTAGTCTCCATTGTAGTTCCATTTTGGGGCTCCCTTTCAAGATCCTTAATATACATTTGGTTAAGCCAAAAAACGGAACTACAATGGAGACTACAGGTATGAATCAGGTTCAGATCTTTTTGGTGGTTTCCTACCCTTTCACAGCACCTGAGCCAGCCCTCAGTCTCAGAGGTGGCCTCCGCACGACCTTCCGCGCGCAAGACGTCGAACAAGTGCAGCCTTGGTTGGGTTTAGGGTTTAGGGTTTAGGGTTTAGGGGTTTTATGTTACATTGTTGGTCTGAATGAGGGTAGTTCTCTACATTAGGGTCCTTTTTGAGGTCCCCCAGATAGTACGGCACCCTCATTTAAAGGATCCTAACAGGCACCCTAGTTTAGACAACTACCCATGAAGTGTTGGAGCCTTTTGCAACCCCTAAGCCCTAAGCCCTAGCTCGGGGTTTGGGAGCAGGATCCGCCCCCAAGCTCTTTGAGGGGTTGGTCGTTTAGGAGCTATAGGTTTAGGGTTTAGGGTTTATTGGGGTTTGGGTTTCGGAGTTACAACTTCACGGCTTGGGTGTATAGGCTTGCGGTAATTTCGAATTTGGGGTTTATGGGGGTTGAAGGGTTCAGGGCTTTGGGGCTTTAGGAGGTTCTAGCACATCGAGTCAGGATGCTAGGACTCAAGGCTTCAAGCTGCTAAACCCTAAACGCAAGAAAACCCGAAAACCCTAAACCCCTAAACCCTAAAACCTGAACCCCTAACCCCTAAACCTAAAAAAACCCTCCAAAAACCCTAAACCCTATATATAAAAATATATAATAATAATAATAATAATAATAGTAATAATAATAATAATAATAAATAGCAATATAATAATAATAATAATAGACGGGCTTCGAGAAGATAATCATATCCGGCCTTGGCCCTCTGGCACCTACCGGCCCCGGCCTAACGGGGTCCCTTTGCGGGCCTTACGGATTCGGCGCTCTGGGGTCTAATGAGGGTTTAGGGTTTAGGGTTTGGGGTTTAGGGTTTAGGGTTTAGGGTTTGGGGTTTCGGGTTTAGGGTTTAGGGCTTTAGGGGTTTAGGGCTTTACGCTCTCGCAACTCGGACTCCGCCAGACGAGGTCTCTTGTGTCCAACTAGAAACTCCACTACCATGCTAGGGTTTAGGGCTTTAGGGGATACGGGTTTAGGGTAGTGCAAGTATAATAGGAAGTTCTGAGGGATCTTGTTGGCAAAAAATCTAGGCTCCTAGTTTACATGTAGCCGCAGAAGGCTGCAAGCCCGGCAAGCCCGTTGTCCTCTCTAAGTCAATAACAGGCCTCCATTTTCAGGTAGACCAATTGCACAAGGCCCGAATGGACAATCCCGACCCCAATGAGCAATTGCACGCGGATGCACAAGGCCAGAAAGTTGAAAGTTAAAAGTTCTCCCATTGGCTATCTAAGTGTCTGTAAATCCCGAAGTTCCCGATCGCGGAAACTGCTTCTGCCGAGCAACGTGCAAGGCCACTGTTGTGCACCTTTGGGTGGTTTGGGCTAGTTCCAGTCTTCCTCTTACTATTTTGATCATTTGATTGCTGTAATTCTGTTAATATATTATTATTGGGCTCTGTCTCTCTCTCTCTCTATGTATGCGTGTATGTATGTATGTATGTATGTATGTATGTATGTATGTATGTATGTATGGGTATGTATGGGTATGTATGGGTATGTATGTGTATGTATGTGTATGTATGTGTATGTATGTGTATGTATGTGTATGTATGTGTATGTATGTATATGTATGTATATGTATGTATATGTATGTATAGGTATGTGTATGTATGTATATGTATGTATATGTATGTATGTATGTATGTATGTATGTATGTATGTATGTATGTATGTATCTATATATATATATTGTAATTCGTGTCAACCTCATGAAAGCGCCCCGTCCCGGTACTACTACTCTCGCAGACTCTCTGTGAGAATCTGGGAGGGCTGACAAAAGGGCCACAAGTGCTCTTGTAGGCACCACTTGCAGGGCAGGGGGCTTAGTAAGTCGGTTCTAAGTAGGGTTATAATTGGGGTAGCTCCAGTTAGGGTACTTATAACTCTACCTATGACCTACTTACTAACTGCCCTGGGCCTCCAAGCAGGGACGTTCCCATCGAGTTTTCGGGATCGAGCTTCATATCTGAGGGGGGTTGATAGTTGAGTTTCCGGGATCAAGCTTCATGATTGAGGGGGGGGGTTAACATGAGGCCAACATTATTTATACTGCTATCTATCGCGAAACCCTCATCATAATCTAAGGTTTAGGGGTGCGGGGCTCAGGGGTTGCCTACAGGCTTGTAGTAGGGTTTAGGGTTTAGGGGTTTAGGGTTAGGCTTTAGGGTTTAGGGACTCGACAGACTTGGAGTTGGACAACTCTCAAATAAGCAGAAGAGGCAGAAAACCCCCTAATCCGTTCGCGACATCTAAAGCATGAAGCTAGCAGAAGCACTCCACACCCCCCAACCTAAACACTACAGACCCGTACCTCCGAAATTCATTTGGGATTCCTGAATAGGAGACCCCAACTACGCAATTCCTAATTCACTAGTCTAGAAAACTGAACAAGTAGGCAAACAGGACTACTATTCTTGGGGGCCTCTTATCATGCGCGAAGGCAGGAAAACGCAACACCCTATTCTATGCCGAACACCGAATTGAATATCTGCCTTCCTCTTCCCAAGGCCCCATGTTATGCTAAATCCCTTAACCCCGTAACCCCGAACCTCTAAACCCCTGAACCCCTAAACCCTAAACTGCTAAAGCCCCAAACTCCTAAACCTTAAACTCCTAAAGCCCTAAACCCTAAACCCCTGAAGCCCTAAACCTTAAACCCCTAAACTCCTAAACCCTAAACCTCTGAACTTCCCTAACCCCTTAACCCTAGAGCCCTAAAGTCTACACCTCTGTACTTCCCTAACCCCTAAACCCTAAACCCCAAAACTTCCCTAACCCCTAAACCCCTAGACTCCTAAACCCCTAAACCCCAAAACTCCTAAACTTCCCTAAACTCTTAAACTCCAAAACCCTAAACCCCTAAACCCCCAAACTTCCCTAACCCCTAAACCCAAAACCCCTAAACCCTAGAGCCCTAAACTTCCCTAACTCCGAAACCCTAAACCCATGCAGCCCTAAACTCCTAAACTCCTACACTTCCCTAACCCCTAAACTCCTAAACTTCCCTAAACCCTAAACCCCTAAACTCCTAAACTCCTAAACTTCCCTAAGCCCTAAACCCCAAAACCCCAAACTGCTAAACCCAAAACCCCTAAACCCCAATCGCTGTCAGGGAAGGCCTTGGCAGGCCGACAGTGCAGCGGCCAAGCATCCAGAGTCGGGGCCGAGAGCATCCGTGGCTTCCTGTAGGGTTTAGGATTTAGGGGTTTAGGGGTTTAGGGTTTTAGGGTTTTAGGGTTTAGGGGCTACTTGGAGGTTCATGGGTAGTTATAAGTAGGGTAACTGTACTTATAACCCTACTTATAGGCCGAGAGCATCCGTGGCCTCCTGCGTGGGCTTCTTTCTTTTTAGGGTTAATGCTTACAGGGTTTTGTAAACTTTTAGGGTTCGGGGTTTCGGGGTTTAGCAGGTTGGGGGTTAGCAGTTTAGGGGTTAGCAGTTTAAGGTTCAAGGTTTACGGGCTTAGGGGTTTAGCAGTTCAGGGGTTTAGGGGTTTGGGGTTTAGGGGTTTAGGGTTTAGGGGTTTAGGGTTTATAAGGCCCATATGGGCTTTAAAAGGGCCTTTACAAGGTTTGTAAAGGTTGCAAGGGTTTTCGGTCGTCATGAGGGCTTTAGAAGGGCTTTTGAAAGGTTTGTAAAGGTTTCAGGGTTTTCGGCTTCATTTAGAGCTTTAGGCCCGCTGTGGATAGGGTTTGTTAGGCACTTACACTCGGACAACTCCAGGCAAAGCTGGAAAAACAAAGCTAGCAACATGTCGAGGTGTTGGGGTGAACTTCATGTTGAACCAGCCTTGATAAGGGCAGTTATATATGGACAGCCTTTTAAGAACCTGTGATCAAAAACTGTAAAGCCTGAATTAAAAAGTCGAATGAAACCGAAAGTACTTGCCGTCCATCTAAGCACCTGGAGCACGCCCAGCGCGGATTGCCACAGCTGCTCTCGCCCCAATGCAGCAATGCAGGTGGCGTAGGTTATCCTGGCTAGGGTTTAGGCTGCAGGGTTTAGGGTTTAAGGTTTAGGGTGTAGGGTTTAGGGTTTAGGATTTAGGGTGTAGGGTTCGGAAATAACCTCATGTAATTCCTGAACTCCATGTGCAGGCATACTTGCGTCGGAAGCAGCACAACCCTCGCAAATCCAACGCCAAAGTCATGACAACATCAGCTCATCAAGACTCCTCGGGTTTGGGTTTCAGGCTTCGGGTTTTAACCCTTTTTGACATGACGTTTTTTTGAAGCCCTTTTGAAGCCACCTAAGCCCCCTTAAAGCCCCCTTTGAAGCCCCCCTTGAAGTCCCCTTACGGACCCCCTCGAAGCCCCCTAGGCTTTAGGATAGGGTTTAGGGTACTGGGCAAACAACCCCCCTTAACTAAGCCCGAACGCTCGACAAAATCGCATGAGGCATTGAAGGTACCGGCTACTTGAGAAACCTAATCAAAATACATCGTCCGGGATAGTAGCCCTTGGCCCTGAAAGGGCAAGACCGACAGTACAAACACAAAAAAAAGTTTCAAAGCCCGTATAACATTCAACCCTCTCTATAGAAAATCGTTATCTCGTGCCCCCGCATGTTGAAAACCCCAAAGCGCCTCAACCCTAAACCCCTAAACCAATAAACCGTATTGAAACCCCTGAATCCTAAACCCTTTTTGCATCTGGACTTGTGCAATCGCCCGAGACTGTCCACCCAGGGAGCATGTGCAGATCTAAGACACTACACTTCTCACTTCTGAGACCCTAAACCCTAAAACCCTAAAGCCCTAACCCCTAAACCCACACCCCTAAACATCCCCTAAACCCTAGACCCCTAAACCTCTAAAACCCTAAACCCCGAAACCCTAAACACCTAAACCTCTAAAACCCTAAAACCCTAGCCCCTAAAGCCCTAAAGCCCTAAAGCCCTAAAGCCTAAACCCCAAAGCCCTAAACCAATTCACCCTATTGAAACTGCTTGCCAGGATCGAATCTGGCTCTGGTCCATCCTCCTTTGCTCGGGGCAACTCAGCTTTCGGGTTTAGGCTTTCGGGTTTCGGGGTTTAGGGCTTAAGGTTTAGGGTTTAAGGTTTCGGGTTTATGATTTAGGTTTTGGGGTTTAGGGTCTCGGCTTTCGGGTTTTCAAGAGCTTTAGGACTTTAGGATTTAGGGCTTAGGGGTTTTAGGGGTTTACGGGTTTAGGGTGACCCTTACCCTCAAAGGACTCATATTTTGAGGCTTTTGGGCCTAAAGGCCCTATGATATAAGACGTTTGGGCTATTTTGATGCCACTTGGAGTTTCATGGGTAGTTATAAGTGGGGTCACAAATCCCCTAATGTGGGATATACGCATAGTTGTCCTACTCATAACTACCCATGAACCTGCAAGTATAAACTCCTCTAGCCCCAAACCGAAACCCTAAACCCTAAAGCCTAAACCCCAAACCCTAACCTAAATCCCCAATCCCCAAACCCTTTTTTGAACCCAGACTCTGCCAATCAGCTGGCTAAACCCTAAACCCTAAAGCCCGAAAGGCCTTAGGGTTTGGGGTTGTAGACTTTCGAAGCTTTGTTTGCGGCATCGGGCCGGGGGTTTGCAAAACTGCTAAGCCCTTACACCAAACGCCAGACCCCAACATCAAGGTTTAGGGGTTTAGGGTTTAGGGTATGAGGGTTTTAGGGTGTACCGTAGGGCTTTAGGCTTTAGGGTTTTAAGGATTTGGTTTAAGGTCTTAGGGGTTTAGGGTTTAGGGTGTTTGAACGGGGGCTCTTTCCTAAGGATCCCGCGGTTTCTGACCCTGACACTCTCTAAGGTTGAAACCATAGGCCCCTAGTATGGGCCCTTAACGCTGGGATCCTTATGCACCTGCTATATAGCCTATATGTACCCTTAATAAGGGCCCCTAGAAAGGCCTAATTAGGGCTCCAAATTAGGGGCCCATACTTCTAACCTTAGACACTCGGACTAGCCAGGCAAGGTCTGGGGGGGTTTGGGGCCTGCACCCCGAAAGCTGATCCCGACTGTAACGGCCTTAATCAGTAGAATAGGGTTCCTTTAAAAGGGTTCCTTAAAGACCTACTATAAGGGTTTAGGGTTTAGAGGGCTTAATAATTAGAATAGGGTTTTGGGGTATAATATACTATAACTAGAATATAATAAGGAACCCCCAAAATAGTATAGATACTTAT